ATATGTATATAAAAATTTTTGACATATCAAAATTTAAAAATACATATTGAAAAATATTGAAAAGAATTAATATTAAACATAAATTATTTTTATATTTTATGTTTTTTATTATCATTTTTATTATCATTATATTGATATCAAATATTTTATAAAATTGTTTAATAATATAATAATAATAATAAATCATTTTAAATTTTGTTTTTAAAAATCTAATGAATTCAACATTTTTAGATTGAATTGGAAAATTTAAATGATGCAACAGATGATATAAATAAACTTGAAACTGAATTAGATGTAAGTTATGTATGTTTTATGTAAGTTATGTATGTATGTATTTTTTTTACATTACATAATATATATATATATATAATGCATATTGAATTAATACTTTAATATAAAACATTAAAAAAATAATTATAGTTTATAAAATTAATACAAAATATAATATTTATTATATAGGAAGCTCATACTGCTTTTAGACAATTATTATCTGAAACCACTAAAAGATTAAAAGATATATTAAATAAGGTAGGAAATAGTTATGTTGAAAAAGCAAGATGTTATTATGAAGCACTTGAAGTAGCACGTCAAGCTCAGGTGAAATATTAAAAATATTTGTTAAATTTTGAAAAATAATTAATTGAAATCTTATTTTGAATAGATATAATATCATGTATAATGTCATTGTAGATAAAATGTCAACAACAAGCTCAACTATTTCAAAGAGCAAGTGAAATTCATGCAGCAGCAAAAGAAACTGTAGCATTAGCTGAAAGTAGATTTATGTCACATCAACATGAATGGAATTTTGATCAAGCTTGGCAGGATATGCTAAATCATGCAACTCTTAAAGTAATGAAATTAAGAAAAATTAAAGTAATAAATTGATATATAAATTATTATATATTAAAATATATAATAAAATATGATATAATAATGAATATAATAAAATGAATATAATAAATAAAATAAGTAGAAAATAAAAATTAATTAATTTCATTAATTCATCAATCATAATTATATCATAGGTTATGGATGCTGAAAATCAAAAAGCAGAATGTGGTAGAGAACATTATAGGAGAGCAGTATTATTTAATGATGCTGAGAAAAAACTACTACAATTAGAAGAAAAACATCATCGTTCCATAATAAAAGCACGACCATATTTTGAAGTTAAAGCACAATGCGATCAGATGTTAGCAACTCAAAAAGAACGAGTTGAATGTTTACAAAAAGCAATACAAGATGCAAAATCTAATTATGCCACAAGTCTCCGTAGATTAGAAGAAATTAGTAATCAAATACATCAACAGCGTCAGGATTATGGTACATATACTGCTTAATATTATTTTAATCAATAATTTCATATCTTATAACTTTAGATTAAAATTATACATATATTAAGTATATCTGTTAAATAATTATATTTATACTTTTAGATTTTATAGCTAATGGACCGCGAGAACCAGGTGTTGGTGCAGAATTAGTTAGTCCGCAAAAGATTTCAAATTATGATATAGAATTTAATCAATCAAATAGCAATAGAATAAAGGATATTATGAATAATCAAATGAAGTATAATAGAATACAAGATTATGATGTTAGTAAAAGCTTCGTAATCTTTTTTTATAATAAAAAATAATATATTTAAAAATATCAATTTTAATTAATTAATCAATTTATCAATTTGTTATGTTGCAGAATTCTTGTCAATTACAAGAAGATATAGAATATCTTGGAAAAAGATCAGTTGATGGAAGTGAAGCAATATCTTCTCAATGGGAATTAGAACTAGAAGCTAATTTAGAAAATTTGAATAATTTATCTCTTGAGAATTCTATATTTGATCATGATAGTAAAAATGAAAGTACCAATTTACATTTTTATAATGAAGAGAATTCAAAATCACATAAGTTTTTAGAAAAATTAAATTATAAATTTTCACAAGATAAAGATCTGCAACCAAAAAATCTGTTTAAAGATTTTAAAACTTTGAAAAATCCATTTGTAAATAAATTTTTAATGACATATTTTGAAGAACCAAGTAAGGATATGTTAAATGATTCAAAATTAAATAAACATAAAACTAATATAAAAGATAGTAAATCAAAATCGTTAAATAATAGTCCTATGAAAATAAATATATTTAATTTAAGCTCAAAATTCATGGAAAAGAACATACATCAGAGAATAGCAAAATATGTGCCAAATAATGTTTTCAATTTTGGTTTTAGTAATAATAAATCTCAAAGTAATAGCGATCTTAATCTATCTTCGAATCTTAATACTAGTTTTATAGAAAAATATCAAAGTTTTGATAATATTATAGATGATAAGACTGAGAATTTCAAAGATAATGTTACAAATTTAAAATATATACAATCGTTTATAGTAAAAGAAGTCAATGATAATGGCCTAAATGTTGCAACAAAATTGCAAAATGCACAATTAATCAATTCTAATACCGTAAATTTACAATTAAAAAGAGACATGATATCAAAAAAAAAATGGTTTAGATCTAATTCTATACAATTCTTACCTTCTAACATTAATTCATCACCAATAAAATCAGCTGTATATTTACCAAATGAACAATCTTCAAATAAAAATTCATCTTATTCTAGTAAATATTCTGTTTCAAAATTATCAGAAAAACAATTAATTATTAACGATTTACCATTATTATCACTATTTAAAAAAGATAATTTATTGGTCAATAGTAAAAGTATTAGTATGATTAATTTAAGTGAAAAACAGAATTTTATATCATGGGATGATTTACATTTAAATAATATAAAAACTTTAAGTTCAGAAATATTACCAAATTTAAAAGATAGTTCATTTTCTAAATTTATAAGTTAAAGGTATAATCAAATTAAATAAATGTGATATATTAAATATTTCATAATTTTCTAATAAGTTTAAACATAATTAAAATATATTATTTTTCGTTTTAATTTATATAAAAAGCTTAATAATATCGAATAATTATATAAATTTTATTTGACAAGTTATATGTGTATAGGATATTCTTTTGGAAACATCCAACATCGATATCTCGAAAATCATATATTTTCGGGGAAAGGGTTGAATTTTCAAGATATCTATGTTGAAAGTTATTCAAATGAATATCCAATAAAGTAAGTATAAATATAAATTATTTATTAAAGAAAAATAAAAAAAAATTAAATAATTATATTATGTTAATGTAAAACATGAATCTCATGTATCTTAACTGCAATTGATTTAAAAATTGTACAATATGTTTTTATATATGTACATATAAGAAATGAAGTTATGTCAGAAAAATTATATATTTATGATAATATTTTTTTGTAACAAATACATTATTTCTACTTGTATTCAATTATGCATTAAATTATTTTTCATTATTGTTTCATTATGTTTAAAATTATGTTATTAATTATATATACTCTTTTTATTCAATTCTATATATTATTAATTTTCACATTATAATAAATATTATATTTTTTTGAAATTTTTTTGAAATTTCTCGATCATTATAATAATAAAATTTTGTATTAAAGAATTTATTTAATTTATTTATATTATTAACTTTATTGTTATTACATTATTATATTTAGAATGTTATTATAATACTGGAAAAATTTATTAAAGTATTTATAAAATCCCGAAAAAATTTTTACAGATATTTAATTTTGCTAATATTACTATTAGCATATTATACTATTGACTTTAAAAAATTCTATATATTGATATTCTAAGTTGAATTATGCAATATTATATATATCAAAAAAATTAAAATTTATATTGAAAAAAGTCTTTGTTAATTATATTTCCAAAAATATGATAAAAAATAAATATAATTATTACATAATAAATATAATTATTATATAATTATATATATTAAATGTTTATTGTAAATTAACAATTACTTTAATGATAATTTTGTATTCATTTAAAAAAAATTTTAAAATGAATTTCATTTTAAAAAGAATTATTAATAAAAATAATAAATAAAATTTATTTTATGCATTACATATAAGATATATTAATTAACTTATATATAATATATATTCTGTATATATTATTATATAATATTCTGTATTATATTTTTAATCATATTTACAAATATGTCAAGTTATCAACGATCAATGGGTTATTAGCTGTGAACATAAAAATCAATACATATAAATGTAATTAACAGTGGGACAAAGATAGATTTATATCTTAATGCCGAATTTTTAAATAGAGATATTTACATAAACATTACATGAAATATAACATTAATTTGTTAATTTTTTGCACATACGTAATAAAATTGCAGATGATGTAAATAAAATAATATATTTAAATTTCTTATCTCTTATATTTATTGACATATTTAAATTTATAATCTAAACATTGAATTATTCTTTTGATAAAACTTTGAAAAGAGAAGATTTAGAATAATAAAAATTTAAATAAAACTTTACAAATAAATATAATAATATAAATATAGATAAAAATAGAAAAAATGATAATAATCTAAACATCGAAAAATACGCTTTTTTCAAAGCCTAGTTTTCAAATATTTGAAGGTATCGAAAAGTGACAAAGAAGATAGGTGTCAAAATGGTTTTTCAAATGTAATAAGCAAATCATACGTATCGCAGTTTATCTCGTCAATGTACGTGAAACGTTTTTAAGTAATAAATTGTAGCGAATTAAAAACACAAAAACTTTAATAGACATTTTATATACACATTCAAGTTATCTATTTATTCGAAAATATTATTGAAACTATTATATTATTTATAAACTTATTAAAATCAAGAGAATTGAAAAATATTCATATTTAAAAATAATTATTGTGAATACGATATTGAAGGTATATTTGGTAATACTTTCTAATCTGGTAATTATCTAAATTTTTCATTGTAAAAATTTGTCATGATTTTAAATTATGTACATATTATACATATTAAATTATTTTATTTTTCATATATTAATAAATAAAAAAATGGTAAAAAAGAACTTATAACATATATAATAACATATATAATAACTCAATTAATTATATATATATATTTTAAATATAAAATTAAAAATAAAAATTATTTTATAAATAATTATTTTATCTTAATTTTTTTAGTCATATATTTGCTAAAATTTAAAAAAATTATTATTGCTTCATATACATATATTGAAAAAATATAATTTATGAAATATATTTATATTTATATATTTATCTTAATATTACAAAAAAATAAAAATTATTTTAGGAAAATATTTAAAAAAAATAAAAAAATGAAATTAATAAAACTTATAATAATATTCGTTACGTTTTACAGTAACAAGAAGTGCGTTATTACATACAATAGGCAAACATTTAGAGAGTTGTTCAAAGTGATATACGAGCTGACCCGAGAATCCAAAGAAAAGAAAATGGATAAAGAAAATCACCGAGTTAACAAAGCAAACTGCAATTCGATAAAGAATCAGAACGAGGCACGTGATTTAGTATTCAAGGGAGACGAGATTCAAAATTGTGAATAAATAGATTGATCCATTTTAATTTTTTACCATCAATATTCTATTTTAAGGAATAATTTAAATTATTTTATCGTATATTTATATTTGAAATATATAATAAATTTTTTTACATATTTCAAAAAAACCTTTTTTTTATAAAAAATATTTATTATCTACATAATACAGTTCATAATTTATTTAAATAAAATTATGCTATAATATCGAGAATTGGAAATAAATTGAAAATACATTTAGATTAAAACCTAATTTTGTTTGAAGTATATGAATTTTTTGTTTATTTAAAGAATAAATTTGAAAATAATTCAAGATATGTATACTTAGCTTAACGTAAATCGCAATAGAATTAAAGAGAGATTATATTTTGAATAGTATTTTTATTGCGTGATAGGCAGAAAAAATCCGAACTAAAAATTATAACTTACAATGATTACATGTAATAGTAGCATGAAAGAATTTTTTCAGCGTGCAGAACTGAAAGAACAAAATGATGAAAAGAAGATACAAGAAAACAAAAATTTTAGAAGTGGAACAACCAAGGAAAAAGAAATAAAAAGCGAAGAAGATATGAAAGAAGATGAAGAATTACTGATACCACATGGGAATACGATGTTTGGACTCTGTGCTATTTGTCATCTTGCTCTTGGAAATATAAATTCTAATTTTAGTCAATATATTCCTTGTTCAAAGGGTCACGCTGTGTGTCAACGTTGTATTCAACACTTTGCGCTTCAATCAGGTTAATTAACATAATCTTTTCAAATTAATAAAATAATTATTATTAGTATATAGAGACATTTAAAACGGGAATATGATTATGAATATCTCATTCGTTTTTGATAATAAAAATAAAGTTTTTGATAATAGATTAAATTTTACTTGGAGAAACATAATCTGACATTAATCATTTTTTTTTATAGAAGAAATAAAAAGAGTAATTTTATTTTTTAATTTTATTTTTTTTTAATTTTTTTTATTTAACTTTTAATATTTCTGTGAATATTGTCAAATGAATACTATGATTTATAATTAATGATTATTCAAAGTCAATTACGATAAAAAAATAAATTAATTTAAGAAAGTCTTCATTGTTATATCATTCTTATAATTATTTTATGTATAAGAATCGTTAAATAATGCTATGCAATAATATACAATAATATGTATTTAAACTTCATATTGTACAACTTAAAATTCATATCTATTCACAAATATTGTTATTATTTTAAGATATATATATCATCGACTAAAGTATGGATTTGTAATATTCATTTTGCGAAACAGTACTAGAGAATGTAGAGTACGATATGAAAGAAGTTGATATGATTTTCATCTATGATTTTGTCCTAACAAACAATATTAATTTGTTTAATTAATATATTAATAATATTTGATTATTTTTCAAAAATAATTTATTTCTCATTTTAGTTGATTTTGAATAATGTTGAATAGCTATCAATAATCATTACATTCATCTTAAAACATCTTGTCAGAATATATTATTCCATTAAAAAAAAAATAAAGTTGATAGAAATAAAAATTATATATTGCAGATCCTGGCTGTATTCTTTGTCATGCACAGTATCAACAATCAAATATAAATTTATCGCGAGAAAGTAATGTTAGTTTGAATTCAATATACACGCATCTAAAGAGAATGCAAATTCCACGACAACAATCGGAATATTATTCGAAGCATCATCAACATTTACAGCAATACATCCCTATTGACATTGAACAATCATATAACAAGTCTTGGAATCAAAATTATCCATGTGCAACACAAAATATTGAAAGAAATACATTAGGATATTACAATGATTATTTTGAAGAGATATCTGATTATGATCAAATTAAAGAACAAAATAACATGCGCGAACAACGAAACAAAAATTGTGACAAACAGAGACGACAAAGTTATTGTAATTTATTTAAAAAAGGAAATACAGAGTCATATATGTCTGAAGCAAAAGTTAGCGGACAAATTAGCGCAGAATGTTCTCGAAGACCGATTCGCTGTCCACGAGTTGATTGTGCCATAAATGTAGCTTTTTCAGCGTTAACTCATCATTTCATTTTTGATCATCCAGAAGTACCTATCCTGAATGTAGAGCCAGGTATTAAAAGTACACTCATCGTCAGTTTTAGTGCCCTATCTTCCAATTCTAGTAGATGTCTGGCTCTCCTTTTAGTTTCCGGTAAACTCTCGTGAGTATAAATAAATATATTTCATTTAATATAATATTCAAAATTTACTGTTATTATAGAAATAAATCTTTTTCATTCAAATATAAAATAAATAAATAAAAATGAATGTTAAGCATTTGTATATTTAAAAAAATCATTATCACTATTAACAATATAGAAAAAATAATTTAGAAAAGAATTGAAAAAAAATATATTTAACTATATCATTTTATTATATTTATATTGAAATGATTTCTATGACTTATATATAATTTATTTTGAAATTTTGAATTAATTTTCTAATTTCTAATTAAAATTTTTATTTTTTTCAAATAAATTTTTTTTATTGCTAATAGTAATAAAAAGATTTTAGATATAACAAGATTTTAGATATATAAAAAGACATATAATATTTTAAAAATGCAATCAATTTAATATTAAATTTTTACACTAAGAGAACCTGTTGCGAGATTGTTTAATGGTAGTCAAATCAACCCAAAATATCGAAATCGTTTACCATTACCAGTATTAGCTGCTCGGCTACATTGTACAGATCAATGCATATCTAATGACAAGATTAATAAAAAGAAAAATTTTCGTGAGAAAGATATAATTATCGCTTGGGTTGCTGGGCTGGATATTGGAAATACAAACAAACTTTTATGTAGTATTCAGGTATATTATATAATTTTGCTAACAAACAAATATTTAGTTAAACAAATGATTAATATCTATGTACATAATAAATGATATGCATATTCGACTACTTTCATAACAGGCTGTAGACAAGATTGATAATGAAGGCTTACGTTGCCTAACATATACAGGTCCAGTGAATTCATTAAGAACTGCTCAATGTCCTCAAGACATTTTTTCAACAGGTGATTGCATAGTTCTGCATGAAGGTCTTCTCAGTCACATTACATCAGATTGTGCTACACTCAATGTCAATGTTACTGTGCATTAAATATATTACAAATGTGATATATTAAATTAAATTTCAATATTACTTAAAATGTCTATTAAAGGCGGGAATAATACTTACATAGAAAAAATCATACCTTTGATGTATATCCAAATTTTGGGTATCGTTTGAAGTGTAATACTATGTAATAGTATATTATTATTTGAATATATATATAAAATGTTAGAGAAAAGTATGTTTGATATGTTATAAACTCGTCATAGCAGGAGGCCGAGCATACGCTTTTGGAATAAATCCATATTTACGAGTTTTAGGCGCATATGCCCACAACCAACCATCTACAGTTTGATTTCCTAAATCCGCATATATCCAGTCAGCTCTTCTCACAGATAAATCATCTGGCGCCTGCGCCTTATAATCGTAAAGTACCACTAATTCCGTGCCATTTGTCTCATCTCGAAAATCTCGTAAACCTTTTTGTTGTAATGACTCATTTCCTGACATATTGTTATTTGCTTTTCCTTGAAATGAAATAATATTTAAATATATT